TGATATTTGTCGGGAAAACGAGTGTACGAAGTAGCAGTTGCAAACAATTGATCAGCCAGAAGAGGTCCACGTTCTTGATAGGAAGAGACCGAAAGTCGATCAGAGAAATTCCAAGGGCGATCCTCCGAGTGATAAGCCACATTAACAAATCAACTTCAAGTTCCGTGCAAGGAAACATGAAAATAAGAAGGAAAAATGTCCAGCGTGGGGCAAAAGTGTGACAAATGTGGTGCAAAAGGTCACTTTGCTGTAATTTGTGATAAACAGCGACTACCACCGAATCGAAAGAAATCTAAAGACAAGTCAAGGGATCGACATCCAAAATCCAAAGTAAATATGGTTTGTCAGGACGAAGAAAGCGACAGCAATGATTACTATTTGATAGTGGAAACTATTAATTCTGTCTACTAGAAAGAGTCTCCGGTCCGTAGAGGATTTTTGCTACTATGGTTTTAAAGGAAACTTCAGTAAAATTCCAACTTGACAGCGGGGGAAACTGTGAATATCTTACCAGTCGAAATCTACAAACAAGTCCAAAAGGATCCGGAACTGAAGCAATTGAAGAAAACAGGAACGACCCCGGTTATGTTTAACAACTCCGAGCTCCGAGCTGAAACCTTTAGGAACTGTCGAGCTCCAGACAAGCAACCCCAAGAATAATGAATGTTACTTAATAGAGTGCACAGTGGTATGAAAGGTATTCAAAATGCAAGGCACTTCTGGGTGCTCAAGCTGTACAGCAGTTCCGTCTTATGCCAGTCAATAATGACAACTTCATGTTTGTATCTGGTGACTTTTCCAATAAAATTATGTCAAGTGTGCTTATAGACTACAAGGATATCTTCACAGGAGAGAGCAGGCTAGAAGAGAAGCTGCACCTGACTTTAGAAAAGACTGTGTTACCTGTGAGGACGGTAACTCTTGCTGTCAAGGAGCCTCTTAAGAAAGAGATTGAACGCCTTGCAAGTCAAGGAATTCTCAAGCCAGTTGATACTCCGACGGACTGGGTGTCATCAGTGGTGGTGGTTATGAAAAGTAATGGGAAAATACGCCTTTGTATAAATCCCAAGCCTTTGAACCAGGTCCTCAAGCGCAACCATTATCCACTGCCTTTTATTGACGACTTGTTACCAGAGTTGTCCAAAGCGAAAGTTTTTAGCGTTGTAGACACTAAGAATGGCTTTTGGCATGTCCAGTTGGACACTGAGAGTAGTTTCTTCACAACCTTTGGCACCCCCGGGGCCGATATCGTTGGACCAGAATGCCATTCGGTATTTCACCTGCGCCAGAAGAGTTTCAACGACGCCTCGACACAGCCTTGGGAGGACTTCAGGATATTGTGCCTATCTTCGATGACATCTTGATCTTCGGAGTTGGAGAAAGCAAAGCAGAAGCCATCGAAAACTATGACCAGCGACTCCTAGCTCTGTTAGAACGATGCAGGAACAAAGGAATCAAGGTAAATAAAGAGAAATGCAAATTCCGCCTGTCTGAAGTATCGTTTATGGGCCATGTCAGATCTGAAGACGGCTTAAAGCCTGATCCAGCTAAGATCCAAGGAGTTCAAGAGATGCCTACCCCACAAAATAAGCAGGATGTGAAGAGACTCCTTGGTGTGTTAAATTATCTCCAAAAAGTTGCCCCAAATCTTTCTGAGGTCACCGCCCCGATGAGAGAGCTCCTCAAAGAAGAGAACCATTTCCTGTGGGATGATAAAGTTCAAGGTCCAAGTTTTGAGAGGGTCAAACAACTCATCTCAGAATCTCCTATAT